TGAACAACAGCTCAACCTGGAGCTGGGCTGCCGTGAGTCTCCAGCGACGGTGTAGGCTGCAGCCCCTGCTTCAGTGGGTTGCCATGGGCTACCATGTGTAGCTGGCAGCCAGCGTGAGCAGCTGTCCAATGGCCGGTGAGCGACTGCCCCACCCAGGAAGAGCGCAATGATCGTGCCAGCTTGGGGCAGTGAAGAAACGTCCTCCACAACTAGACTGAAGAACAAAAGGACAGCAACTTGTCTGTTCCCCTCCCCCAATTCCTCAATAAAATCTTTTTTTTTTTTTTAAATGAGGAACCTGGATGTTGGGGATTACTACCCAATTTTCCCAGACCCTCCGAGTACTATCAGCCTCTCTCAAAATACACCTAACCAAAGGCAACAGATTCGGCATCCCACACCTCTCCCACCCTTCTAGGATCCACACAAACTCTAAAATTCCCTACCTGCTTCTGAGAGTTACTCACTCTTGGCTGTGTAGGAAACATCTTCTCTTTTAAAAGGTTTCTCCTCCACTGCTGTTTCTTTATTGACCTTCCGTCTGGTCATTCTATCCATTAGGAAAACGGAGGTACCAGGGTCTCCTACTGCAATTGTACAGGTGTCCATTTGTATTTCAATTCTGTCAATGTTTGTTTCATGTATTTATGGGGCTCTGAGGTTTAAATTTTATGACTGTTATATCTTCTCAGTAAATGGGCCCTTTTATCATCATACAAGGTCCTTCTTTGTGTCTTGTAAGTTTTTGGTTTTGTCGCGTCCCGCACAGCATGGGCAGTGAGGAGTCAGAGGGGATGGCAAAGGGTTAAAGAAACACAAGAGACAAAGATAGATTTAAGACGAGGCCAGGGGACTGCAGTTCTCTCTTCTGGAACTGAGTCCCTAATCGGGCCAACGTGTAGCTTTTATTAAGAAACTTCAGGGCAGGCCGAGTGGCACGTTGGTTAAGAGCTGGCTTGGGACTCCAGAGGGCCCCGGTTCAGATCCCACACATGAGGGCCAGTGACACTGTGCCCTCTACAGCTAAGATGCTGAACAACAGCTCGACCTGGAGCTGGGCTGCCATGGGTCGCTGGCGACAGCGTGGGCTGTAGTCCCCTGCTGCAGTGGTTTGCCGTGAGCTACAGTGTGTAGCCGGCAGCCAGCGTGAGTGGCCAGCAGCCGCCGTGACTGGCCACCAGAAGCTGGCGACTGATCTGCCTCACCTAGGAAGAGCGCAATGATGGTGCCAGCTTGGGCTAGTGAAACGTCCTCCACGACTAGACTGAAGAACAAAACAGCAGCAACTTGTCTGTTCCCCTTCCCCCGATTCCCCAATAAAATCTTTATTAAAAAAAAAGGAACTTCAAAGGAGTAAAACTTTTTTCTCTCTAAAGTCTGTGTGATAAGTGCCTTAAGGCCAGTTTCTATCAACCAGCCCCATAGTACTCCAACACATGCTGTGCCTGCGTCCTCCCACACACACAACCCCCAGGGTGGTGCAGCTGCAGCTGCGGCCATGAACTAAGGGAGATCACCGACATCATTCCGCCGGGTCCCAGTTTTCCAGGACACTCCCTCATGACCTTGTTAGGTCAGGGACTGGTGTGTGGGGGGGGCGGTCGAGGATGAGGCTGTAAGGCAACATGGTTTAAGGTCTTATTTTTATTACTATTGCCACCCCTGATCTCTACTGGTTAATGTTTGCAAGGTTTACCTTTTCCATCCCTTCACATCCAACTTCCACGTCATTAGATCTGAAGTGAGCCTCCTGTAGACAGCATGTAGTTGGATCCCATTTTTGTGACACATTCTGCCAATTTAATGTGTTGGGGGAGATAATCCATTTACATTTAACTAAAGGCCAAGGAATGCCTTAACATTTGCCATTTTGTCCATGGTTCTGTATATCTCACAGCTTTTTGTGGCTATCCTTTTCTCCATGCTTGCCTTCCTTTGTGATCAGTTGATCTTTTGGTAGGGACAGTTTTTGATTACTTTCTCACTTCTTTTTGTATAGTCTATAGATGTTTTATTTGTGGTTACCATGGAGGTTAGGTGTAATACCCTAAAGTTATAACAATCTATTTTAAATTGATACCAACTTAAAACATGTATTAAAACTCTACTCCTTTATAGCTCCTCCACCTCCCCCCCGATTATCATCATCCTTATCGTGGATCCCTTTTGTGATTGTTGTTGGACAATACTGAACAGAAATGTCCTATTCATGAAGGGGGTCTGGCTTACTGGAGATGATTGTGAAGGCACGCATGTGCACAGCTGCTCCAAGGTTCCCACCATGCTGCCAGGTGCATGTTCACGCTGTTCCTGACACTGCAAGCACCCCTCCAGATACAGGGATACCACAGTGTTGTCAGAGCAAGCTTCAGAGATATTTCTAAGCCCCCTCCAGGTACCCCCAACCACAATTGCTCCATTGGAAGCTCGGGCTGGGCAGTCCTTGGCCCTCCAGAACCACCACCATATCTGTCAACTCAGGGGTCTAGCAACCGCTCTTTTTCCAGTAAAAGCTAGAGAGCCCCCCCCCCTTCCTCTTAGGTTGGCAGCAAAGTGGAGCAGCCTGGGACAACGAGGGTGTGACCAGAGAGGGGTCTCACCAAGGAAGTAGCAGGGGCAGAGTTGGGCTTCAACTTGGCACAGGTGTTGCCTTGAAAGGTACAGCCATTGCGGGCAGGCCTACGCCTCTTCTGCGCTACCCCGAGGTGTTTCTGGATCTGTTGCTCATCCCTCCAACACAGCACCTCCTATTTTTACCTTGGGATTATCGCTTCAACGTGCCTTTAGTCCTTCCTGCTGCTGAACTTAGGATCCTCAAGCCACAAACCTAGTAGGCTTTCTACCTTAGATCTCCATCACTGAGCCCCCAGTCTTTTGCCCAAACTCATCAACAACTCTCCCACTCAGAGCCACAGTCACTGATGCCCACAGGTCCATCTCGGAGCCATTCAGACCCTGGATTCTAGTTTCCCACTATCAGGATTCAGCCACTCCCATCTCCACAGCCCCATCAGGGCCCACAGGCCTACCTCCACTGCTACTTTCACTTTTCCTGGGCTCCCCAGGATGCCTGGTGGGCCTTTGCTAAATTCATTGGTGCTCCACAGGTAATGACTCTTGAACTGGTGCCAACTAGACAATGCTTCTCACCTCATGCATCCCTCTGAAATACAATGATACACACTAACCCAATAATTACCACAACACCCTCGTAACACATGCAAACCGTAGCACACACATGGCAAATGACCACACTTAAAACATAGCATGGGGCTGGCAGAGTGGCGTGTTGGTTAATAGTTGGCTTGGGAGCACCAGCTCTGAGCAGCAGGGCCCCGGTTGGATCCCACATGAGGGCCAGTGACGCTGCACCCTCTACAGCTAAGATGGTGAACAACAGCTCGATCTGGAGCTGGGCTGCGGTGAGGTGCTGGTGATGGTGTAGGTTGCAGTGGGTTGCCATAAGCTACCGTCAGTGGCTGGCAGCCGGCGTGAGCTGCCGTCCAGTGATGGGTGACTGATCTGCCTCAGCCGGGAAGAGCACAATGATAATACCAACATGGGCCAGTGAAGCGACATCCTCAACTAGACTGAAGAACAAAAGGACGGCAACTTGTCTGTTCCCCTTCCCCCAATTCCTCAATAAAATCTTTAACAAAAAAAAAAACACATAGCATGTATGTTCAGATAATCACATGTGGACTTCTCACACTGAACACACACTTTCACAGATGCCATAAAGATCTACTCTCTCTAAATCATACAAACATCAAGGCAACACACCTGTATGCAGATCATATAATGACCATATGCCCTCTGACCACACACAATTGCCAGCAGAAAGTTATTAACGGGGAACCTGGCTATGCCTCTGTGTGCTTTGATAATGGAGCACGTCACGCTGTAACATCAATCAGGGACAGACACATGGCAGAGGAACAAAACGTGTTGAGTTCCATCAAAACCCAGCAAAGCTGGTTCTTATGGTGCCATATGGTAAAAGAGACAGGATCCGCATATGGGTGTTCGATTCATTTGTATCAGCAAAAAATTAAATTAGGAAAGTGTAGACAATTAAACCAGATTTCCATGAGAAAGCATCAAGGTTTTAATGTGATCCTATGTTACTAGTTGTGGAGAATTTTTCCTTTATAGTCATTATCGTCAAAATTCTGATTTTATACATTAAAAAGAGCTGAATCATTCTTTAAAATATTTCATTGCAAAATATTTCAATAAATTTAACACTAACATAGTTAATACATATTTTGTATCCTGTATGTCTTAGTTGACATTTGATATTTTATAACTGACCGAATTTAACTAAACAGATTTTTCTCCACCAACAATTAATGCTTGCATGTTTTCAGTATCAATCTTTTAGTGTGATCTTCCTTAATGCTTCTTCTAAGGTTCTGCATTCAATACTCCCAAAGTGCTTCACAGTTGTGCATTTTATCCCACGTTTTCAATAACATATCTGTGGTAAAATTCTGATTTTGCTGAATTGTTTGCTAAACAGTTCTTTTAGAAATTCCTTTCCAGTCCAAAATTTCTAACATGAAATCCACCTAAAGGTTTATCCCTTTTCTCCTCAGGACTGTTTTCTTCTCAGTGTGAGATCATTTGTGTTGACTAGGGAACGTGCACTCACTGAAAAGATTCCTTTATTTGTGACACTGAGTGTTTTATACAGTGTGAATCCTGATGTGTCTTACAAATGTTACTCTATTAATAAAATAATGTTTTACCATTTCTCACAAAATAACTCAGCATAGATTATCTGCTATTCTTCAAGAGGCTCTGTCCTCCTAGTAGTGGATTTTTTTCCACTCATTTCTTGTTTAGCAGTTACCTGACACTATATTTTCTTTTGCACACTGACAGTGGTGCTAAGTTGAATGAGAGTGCACAATGATTACAGATCTAGAATTTTTCTACTGTGCAGTTTACTCATGTTTAAAGGATAAATTATAAATGAAGATATTTCTACATTGATTACATACACAGAATTTCTCTGCCATATGACTTCTCCCTTTTGTTTACTAGTTGGAACCGTGTATATTCTTCCACATTCATTCCATTTATTTTGAATTCTCCCAGGTCATATATTATCTCCCAGGTCAGCCCATTGTCTAAAGATTTTGTCACATAGATTCCATACATATGGAGTCTCTCCATTTTGAATTAACTTCAAATCAATAAAATAATATGAATAAAGGCTCTTCCACATCGATTACAAACATAATGTTTCTTCAATGTGTGAGTCCTCAAGAGTGTTTAGAATTGGAATCTATGGGTGGTGAGTTTTCTATATTTACAACCTTTATAGTGTGAGTTCTTTCATGTTGTCTAAGGTTAAAATATTTACTGAAGGCTTTCCCACACAGATAACATTTATGTGGTTTCTCTCCAGTGTGAATTCTCTTATGTAGTCCAACGTTGTAACTTCTATTGAAGGCTTTTCCACATATATTGCATGCATATGGTTTTTCGCCAGTGTGAGTTCTCTCATGTCGTCTTAGGACAGAAGAGTAATTGAAGGCTTTCCCACATAGGTGACATTCATATGGTTTCTCTCCAGTGTGAGTTCTCTTGTGTCGTTTAAGAACAGAAGAATCAGTGAAAGCTTTCCAACATAGATGACATTCATATGGTTTCTCACCAGTGTGAGTTCTCTCATGTCGTCTAAGGACAGAAGACTCAGTGAAGGCTTTTCCACACAGATGACATTCATACGGTTTCTCTCCAGTGTGAGTTCTCTCATGTTTTCTAAGGTGAGAACAATGAGTAAAGGCTTTCCCACACAAACGACATTCATGTGGCTTCACTCGAGTGTGAGTTCTTTCATGTTGTCTAAGGTAAGAAGTTTTACTGAATGTCTTCCCACATAAATGGCATTCATATGGTTTCTCTCCAAAATGAGTTCTTTCGTGTTTTTTAAGGTCAGAACAATCAGTGAAAGCTTTCCCACATAAATGACATTCATGTGGTTTCTCTCGAGTGTGAATCATCTCATGACGTCTAAGGTTAGAACTTTTACTGAAGGCTTTTCCACACAGATGACATCCATATGATTTCTCTCCAGTGTGAGTTCTCTCGTGTTTTCTAAGGTCAGAACAATGAGTGAAGGCTTTCCCACATCGATGACACCCATGTGGTTTCACTCCAGTGTGAATCATCACATGTCGTCTAAGGTTAGAGCTTTTACTGAAGGCTTTCCCACATACGGGACATTCAAATGTTTTCTCTCCATTTTGAGTATTACTGTGTTGTCTAATGGCAGAGCTCTGAATCAAGGTATTCCCACGTTGATGACATTCATATGATCTACTTCTAGCATCAATTTCTTTCAGTTGATTAAAGTAACTGATGGCTTTTCCAAATTCTTGTGTGATATGGGGCTTCTTTCCCATGTGAGGGATCCCATGCTGAGTCATTGTTAAGATTTCAATAGAATTTTCTCCTAAATCATTCCATTCGAAAGGATCCTCTTCAGTGTCAAATCTCTGCATTTTAAAAGGTAATGAGGAACTGTTAAAGCTTTACCCACATTTATTCATTCCTGCACTCATTTCTCTATATATAACTTCTAGAGTAATCGTTCAATGATAGACTCCAGTTAAAATTGTTCCTATGAGTTACATGGGGTACTACTCGCCCACATGCATAAAGATTTTCTTTTTTGTGGCTTCCCAATTGCAGAGATCCCTGATTAATTTTTAGACATTATGTTTCAAAGACTAGATGTATGAGCCAGGATTATGCAACTGTGTGTTTGTAAGACCTCAGGCTAATTTCTTCCCTAAAACAAAAGTAATAAAAATGTTTTGCTGTGAGATCCTTGATCCCAACTCTAATTAGTCAGGTAATTGTGCCAAATTTCTAACTTATTCAATTCCCAGGTCTCTATTTAGATAAACAGGTTCACACCCATAAAACTTACCAATGCGCTCATTAAGGATGTGTCCTTGTAGAAATGTTGAATGGATATCACTTCTTGTTTTTTAAGACTATCACTCCTACCTGAAATGATTGGAAAAAAAAATTGCTATAGCTGCATTAGCGAGATTGAAATGTTGAAGAGACCCAATACCCGTTTTGAGTATGTTTCAAATATTAACACACAAACTTGGAAAAAAATGTCACATTAAGGAATACTCTGAGAATAAAGTCATTACAATCTTCAATAGTTGACATTTTCAAGGCCAGAATATGAGAAAAAGAAAATCAAGATGGCAAGCTGGGGCGAAAAAGAGAGAAAAAAAATCTTCATAAAATAGGATCAGGAACATGGACAATTTGTGAAAATTTTTTAAAAATAAAAACCTCACTTTTATTGACAAGCTAGGGATATAACAGACAGTTTCAAAGAACAAAAGAAATAAGCAGTCCCAAGACAATGGAGTGCAAAATTCCAACAGACAACTTAATACTCTTCATCCTCACCCCCATTCTCAGCACTGTCCACTCCAACCTCCTCACAGTCCTTCTTAAGGGCAGCCGTGTCCTCACAGGCCTCAGAAAATCCTCCCTCCATACCCTCACCCACTTACCAGAGAGCAAAGGCACGCCTGGCATACATCATGTCAGACTTGTAGTCTAGCCATGCCCAGGCCTCATCAATAGCTGTAGTGTTGCTCAGCATGCACACAGCTTGCTGTGTTTTGGCCAGGTCTCCATCAGGTACCACAGTGGGAAGCTGGTAATTAATGCCAACTTTGAAGCCAGCGGGGCACCAGTCCACAAACTGGATGGTACGCTTGGTCTTGATGGTGGCAATGGCAGCACTGGTACCTTTGGGAACCATGTCATCACAGTTGACTAGACAGCAAGTCATGTATGTACCATGGCGAGGGTCGAATTTCACCACGTAGTTGGCTGGCTCAGAGCACACGCTAGTAATCTGTGCTGCAGAGTCACTCATGGTAGGGTTTCTCAGCAGAGATGCCAGGGCACATGTGGTCAGAGGGACGTGGATGTGGGGATAGGGCGCTAGGTTGGTCTGGAATTCTGTCAGGTCAACATTCAGGCCTCCATCCAACCTGAGGGAACTAGTGATGGAAGACACAATCTGGCTACTAAGGTGGTTAAGGTTAGGAGAGGTTGGACGCTCAATACTGAGGTTTCTATGACAGACGTCATTGATGGTCTTGTTGTGAACCATGAAGGCACAATCTGCGTGTTCCGGAATTATAGGCTAAGCTACAGCTGTGGGAATCTGGGGTGGGGCGGTGGGGGAGGCTGGGTAAACGGAGAACTCCAGCAAGTACAGGAAGGTAGCCTTCCTGAAAGCCAAAGATGCTGAGACACTTGAATAGAAACTGGTACCTGCCTGCAAGGTAGGATGACATCTGAAGAATTTGTCCTATGACATCACTTACATTAAAAAAAAAAATCACTGAGCTATTTTCATCTGATCATTCTTAGGGCCTACTCCCTCACTGACCAGGCCCCTTCTCCTATGGAAGCACCACGTCTGGGAACTCACCTGGACTCTGACTGCGCAGAAAACCAACCCCTGCTCTTGAAAGTTGCTCTCCTTCCTCCAAATGGGAAATCACATCTGATTTGTAGGGTTGATTGCCTGTTTGTAGGCAAATGATATGTGTTTTGAGTTCTGTGCTGAGAATAGTGTATGGTCATCAATACAGGGTCAACTAATGAGGAAGAATAAGATAACCTCTGAAGGTCAGCCTGGTGAAGAGTATGTTTAAAACAACATGGATAATTCTTCACTAACAAAATGACAGCTCTTGAACTTGTTCCAAAAGATACTAAGGTCCTATCATTTCTGATGCCTGTGCCCAAGTTCAGAGACCGACTGCAGGATCTTCAATATTTTCATTCAGTGGGGAAATATAAGTTTTCACACTGTTTGACTATTATATCTAAATAAATACAAACTCTACAGAAACAATCTAGGTTCAATGTGGAAAAAAATTTGTCTGTTATTTGTAATACTGTCGTCTGATCTAACCAGTCCCTGCAGGAAAAGAGTAAAAAAAAATTTTTTTTAATCAGTATTTATTTTCCCATTCAAAAATAGTGAATTCCCACCACTGTTGAAGTGTTGGAAGATTTAGTAGCAAGAAAGTTATGAGATTACAAACTAAACATAAGTAAAAAGTAAAAAAAATTGCTGTAAGGTAGTTGTGGGAGTTATGAAAGAATCAAGACAAAGTTTAGAGTAAGAAATGGGAAAGCTTTTCGATATACTTGTTAAATGAATAAATGAAAAAAACACATACATACATAATATGTAGAGACTCACCAATCGAGACCAGGTGACTAATATTCTCCAGCATTACATCTCTGAATAGTTTTCTCTGGGATGTGTCCAGCAAGGCCCACTCTTCTTGGGTGAAGTCTACAGCTACATCCTCAAAGGTCAGAGATTCCTGAAATATTATAGACACTGTCTCAGACAGGGCCATCTCTGCCAGTCTCTAGGGGAGGATAGCACAGGTGACAGCATTAAGGAAGTGGTGGCTGAGTGTATATAGAAAGCTCAAACAGTGTTTTGGGTCCGACGGTCACATCATTCTCAGTGCTGACCTGGACATCTGACTTTCAGATATACCCACAGAGACATTCACACTGTAAATACCTAAAACTTCATTATAAAGAAGTATCAAGTGAGGTGTGGCGAAACATAACCCAGAGAGTCCCAATAGATTTGTAATTCTGACTTCCAGATCATGATATTATAAAATTTTCATTGGAAAATTTATAACTAAAACACTCTTCTTGACCAATTTCAAGTAAATCTGTAAACTCCTCACAAGGGATGCAGTGTCCACGATCTGCGAGTTTTTAACCATGACTCTGGTTCCATTATTCCGCTTTATCACCTCAGTTTTCTCATCAGTGAACAGGCTTAAAGGTTGTTATGAATTCTTCAAGATCCAAGGGCTAATGTATAAAGTGCTACCCATCTAGCAAACAACACTCAATACAAATTCTATGTTTATTATTCAATAAATGGCAGAAAGTGTGGAAGCCATGTCCAGAATTCTGCAAAACTGAATACAATTCATAAAGGTCTTGGGATCAGCAGGGGCAGCCTTTCATCTCCACACAACTCAGATGCTCATTATAAAGTATATGGATAAACGGTTCAGCAGACAAGCTGGAGGCTCTGAGACTCCGACACTAAAGGAGTGCTATCCTGACTCTTCCTATGGTCTAAGGCCTCTCATTCTCAATTTTCTGGGACCTCCAAATGTCAGTATCACTGTCTTCTTTGTTTCTTCATCTTGTGTCTATTCAAGCAAACCTGAAGCCACTTAATTGTTCTGGCCTCATCAGTTCATCAAAAATTTCCACAGGGCTTTAAGTTTACCTCTGCCTCCTATACTCCTTTCTCCTGAATCACAGCCAAAATTAGGGAAACAATACTCCCTATGCATTGCTTCCAGTAAAAAAATTTGTACAAAGGGAAATCACACAAAAAAAATTCATGATTTGGGATATGGGTAATAATGAGAGTTTTAGTTTTCTGTATTAGTTTTCAAAAAGCACACATACATTCTATCAAAACTTTAAGAGGTTTAAAATTTGAAAAAATAAACAAGTAACTCCTCATTGCCTCTCTGGCATAATCATAATTCACTTTCCCTCCGCACCAGCCAGCACTCCCCCAGCACCCGTAACACTGGACTGACGGAGCTCATCGGCGGAAACACCAGCCTCCCTTCTGGGCTGTGGTGTTCTGCTCCTTCCTTATCTGTATCACCTGCAGTCACCGCCATCCTAAGGCAATTCCAGTCAGTGGAATGGTTAGTACGTGACTTCCTTTTTGCTAACAAGGCCATGAGTTAAACGAGAACAAGAAAATCTTTCTCATCTCGTCTGTGAATACACAGCATTAACAGTGGCTGGAATACCTTAGTGTGATGTAAAGAAAGAGGTCATTGTTTGATGAGTCTTTGACCCAACATGACAATTCCGGAGTTCCGGGGAAACTTAACTGAAGCTCAGGTCCTTCAAAAATCTCCTGAATGCACTTAGAACACCAACGCCTGTAGAATAAATATACACAGAAACTGGAAATAAGATGCAATTTTAGTAGAAAGAGTAATTCCCCTCACCGGTAACTCCATTGTCAGTAGCTCAGCTGCCAACCCTCTTCTGGGTTTTCTTGACACACAGTCCAAGCAACAGGAGGCAAAGCTGAGGAATGAGAAAGAAGCCATGAGACTCTAGTTGTCCACAATCTCCAGGCCCATTTGTCATGTAGCCCCTTTTGGGCTGTGATGCTCTCCCTGGAAGCAACCCCCAGGCCAACCAGCAGAAACAGGCAGTGTTCTCTAAGAAACAGGGAGAGCGGTTCTCTACCAGGGTCCAAAATAAGGAGGCTGAGTGCTGCTACTAGTAAAGATTATACAAGTACTCTCCTCTTCGAGAAGAAATGTGAAAACCATTGGTTTTTTAAAAAGATTTTATTGGGGAATTGGGGGAGAGGAACAGCACTGGGGAATTGGGGAAGGGGAACAGACAAATTACTGTCCTTTTGTTCTTCAGTCTAGTTGTGGAGGATGTTGCTTCACTGGCTCATATTGGTATTATCACTGCGCTCTTCCCGGGTGAGGCAGTCGCTCGCTGGCCATTGGACGGCTGCTCATGGCGGCTCACAGAAGCTCACGCTGGCTGCTGGCCAGCCCCACTGCAGCCTACGCTGTTGCTGGTGACTCAGCAGCCCAGCTCCAGGTTGAGCTGTTGTTCATCATCTTAGCTGTAGAGGGCACAGTGTCACTGGCCCTTATGTGGGATCCAAACCAGGGCCCTGCTGCTCAGAGCTGGCGTCCCAAGTCAACTCAAAACCAACACGCCACTTGGCCAGCCCCAAACCATTGAGTTTTGTATGTTAATTAACCCAAGGTATTCAGAAGATTTCAATTCCTTCGATACCAAAACACCAAGATCCCTCAACTCATGCCACATATGTCTTCACCTCGAGGAACCACTGGAATTTCTCTGGCTTAATTATTCTTACTTCGTAGACTAGCAGTGTTTCTTCAACTCCATCCCAGCCCTCTGCTGCCTCAATCCATTCCGACTATTCCCTTCCCTTGGCCCCCAGATACACTCGTCCTAAATAATTTGTCTCCTCCAAGTAAGGTTTCCAGGAATATCATCACTCCCTCAACCCTGACTTTTAGATTTGTGCTGCAGGAATTTGGTTATGAACCAAGAGAATTAAGGCGGCACTTTTTGATAGGGCTTATCAATCCAGTGACTTATTTGTTGGCGTCATCAATGGTAGCTGCCTTGCAAACTTACCTCTGAAGATCCCCTGCACCAGACAACAGCATGAGTATGCGGGTCATGGAACTACTATCATGTTCAAGAATCCTCTAGGGCAGTGAACTACATTAGTTTGGGCTCAAAGTGGTTACCATCAGCATCTTCTGATTACAGCAAACTACTGCTTGAGCAACGTTGGCCAAACTGTCCACTTGTATCGCTGCACATGCCATTTCAATTTCTTCACACAGTACCATGCGTCTCAAAACTTATGAATGCGTGTAATTGTTAGGCGTCTTGGAGGTTCTGTTGCATACTCATGCCTCCACTGTCATTGTACTTCCACAACGTTCTCGATTCCAAATACCACTTCAAAATGGTCTTGCGCTCCTTGAACAACAACCGTGCTTCTGCCATTTTCTTTGACTGTCCTGCCTGTCGCATGGTGACACTAACATTCATTTGATTAACATCATCTTTTGAGTGAAGGTCATGCTACACACTGCTACTGTAACTCAATTCAACTTTGAAAAGTAATACACAGATAACATCGCTTAAAAGGTGTATACATTTTTTTGGCACCCCCGGTATTAGAAATTCCAAGAATGACCAGCATCAACACTGATTTTACTGCAGGTTTTTTTTCTATTTAAAAAAAATTGTGGGGCCGGCCGAGCAGCACGTTCATTGAGTTGGCTTCAGACGCCAGCTCTGAGCAGCAGAGCCCTAGTTTGGATCCCACATGAGGGAGACACTGTGCCCTCTACAGCTAAGATGGTGAACAACAGCTCAACCTGGAGCTAGGCTCCTGTGAGTCGCCGGTGATGG